AAAAGTGAAAAAAAAGAAAAACAAATTAAAAAAAAAGCATAGAAAATAATTTTAGAGCTTGTTATAAAAGAGAGAAGACCTTTTTATTATAAACTTTAAATAGTCAGACAAGTGGCTTACTTTTGCTTAAAGTAATATAGCAGTTTGCACTTAGGTATCATTAAAATAACTGAATAATGCTAAGCTTAGTTGTTAAGAATATTTATATAATTGCAAATGTAATTTTAAAATTTTAATAAAACATTAGCATGACTGCTTAAAGAAAAAAAAAATAAAAATAAATAAATAAATACAGTAATAAAAATAAAATAAAAATATAAAGTTTAAAAAAAAGACAACAAAGAGTATGAAACTCTTTTTAATGATCACTCTGACACAAAATCAGTAAAAAAGAAAATCAAGTTTTTTTAAGAAAACTAATAAGAAACTACCTAAACAGTACTAAGCTAAAAGAAGCAGCAACAAAAAGTGCACTAAACAATTCTAGAAACCAAAAGAAACAGTAATATTAAAGTAGTTATAAAAGAAAAGCAAGATGTTTTGAAAATTTTTTAGTATTGAAACAACAATTGTGAGGATTTCTATCAGATCCTAAAAGTAGATCTGTTTACATTGCACAAAGTAATGTAACATATCAAGCAACAACAACAAACATATGCAAGTGGACATATACAAAATAAACAAACTAATATACAGCAATAAAATAGAAGAAGATTCTAGAAAAGAACAGATTTAGTAATAGATAAAAGTTTGCCTAAAGAGTATAGAGAGAACATAAAAACAATTTGTATAAAAAGAGCTTACTGGGCATTGAGCAATATACATAATAAGCACTTCTTTAATAAAGCAAGCAATACATATATAGTGTCAGACAGAAAGGATGAGATTGTAGCAATGCTTACTGAGCAAGATACAAATAAAATAGCTTTTATATGAATAGCAAGAAAGATAGTTGAAAAAGCTAAAAAAAGAACAATCAGAGAAAAAATTAGATTTAGTGAAGCAAATGCAAAAGGTGGCACTAAGAGAAGAAAAAAAAATCCAACAGCAGAATAGAGAACTGCAAGAAGATACTTTAACTGTTCAAAGAAAAAGAGATGCAGAGGTAAGTTTTATAAACAGCAGACAAATAGAAACACAGCTACCTATTCAAGAAAAGGAAGTCGAAGAACAGTTAGAAAAGCAAGAACAAAGATTGACAAAGGTAGCCAAAGACGCAATGCAAGATGTAATTGTAGATAAAGCAACAAAACAGAAAAAAAATCTAAAAATTGAAAAAGAAATTAACATAGTTGGAATATTATTTGAAGACAACATATGGGTGCCAAATAGAAAAAACTGTAATCGAAATAATAGCCTACTTGCTAATATACCAGCACACAATGTGCCAGATACAACACAAGAAAAATATATAAAGTTTATTAAATAATTACTAAAAGAAAATAAACATGTTAAAAAAATCAAAAAAGTTTTTAAAAGAGGAAACTTGTGAATTGAAGTAGACTTTGACTGTGAATATAGTAGAAATGAAGCAATACAAAGAATTAGCAGAAAGAAGAATGATTAGTACAAACTAATACCAGAAGAAAGAAGGAACAAAAAAGAAAAGCAAAAAGCAGACATCAAAGAACAGTACAAAAGAAGTAACAATATAATGAAACTGAAAGAAAGACAGTTAATAAGGAAGATGACAAGATCAAAGCAGATATAAATTACAATAAAATCAATAAGAAGCTGGATGGCAGTGAAAGATTAACAATATAAGACTTGCTATCAGATATTAACAAAAAAAAGCTAAAATATATTTGTAGAAAATTTAAAAATGCCCAAATCATAAAAATCAAAAGATCAAAATACAAAATGCTAGCAATAGTGCAACTAAAAGAACCCAGAGAAGTAGATATTTCTTGGACCATACCAGTTAACAAAGACAAACTAGTATGAATAACTAGAGAAGAAAAGAACTATAAAACAAGAGAAAACCAAAGGAAATACATAGCAAAGTTGACAGACTTACTCAGAAATGCCTTAGAAGTCCTGCTATTATAATGTCTAAAAAGCAAAGAAATGAAGTCAGTTTACATCCCACCAAATAGAAATAGAAACCAAAGAAGAACAGCAATAATAATGTTTGCAACAGAAGAAGAAATGAATGCAGCTTAAACAAAACTGATTTTGTATAACAACTTTCGAGTATATTGAATAAATGAAGGAAAAAGAATAACAAAAAGAAGAGAAAGCCTTAGAGAAGAGAGAGAAAGAAGCTGAGACAGATGCAGCCAATTCTTTATTAGAGAAAAGAACATGAACAGCAAAAAAAGACAAAGAAATAAAACTTTTATAAATAAAAAAAGAATTAAAAATAACTCAAGTTGGGGATTTAAGTTATCAAAAGAAAAAACAACACCCAAAATCAACATAGGCTAAACCAGACAAGAAATATAGATGCAAAAGAAAAAGAAAAAAAAGACTCAAGAAGTAGATCAGAAGATTTCAAAGCACAAAAGCAAGATTGAGAGTCATTTATTAAGGAAATCTTATATCAAATCTGGAAGAGATTAGAAAATCGAGAAGAAACAAGAAGCATAACTAGGAAAGACCTAGCAAATTGCTTCTAAAGACACCTCAGTTGAAATCATGAATATGGATAAGGAGATCAGAAACTTTCTATATAAGAAAGAAGAACATTTGAAGAAAGAAGTAAAGAAAGATCTTCTAATCCAAGGGAAGAAAAAAAGGAAAAAGACAAAGAGAAAGTAGAAACCATGAAGACAAAATACAAGCAGTTAAAAGAAAAATAGAAAGTAAGAAGAAAATAAATAAAATTAGCCTGTTATAATGTTAATAAACTTAAAACCAAAGGCTAGAAATTAAAAAATCTGCTAGGCTGGGCAGAAGAAGAAGAAGTAGCAATTTTAGAAATAACAGAAACAAACATTATAAAGAAAAAAAAAAAAATATTGCTATACAATCTGAATACAAGATTCAAAGACTACTAGGTTAGTGCAGTATTAGATAAGAAAAAAGGATCAGATATTGGAATTCTAATAGAGAAAACCTAGGAAAAACATGTTGGAGCAGTCAAGAGATCTAATGAATATATGATAAAAATAAGACTATACTTCAAACAACTAAAACTAGTAGTAATCAGAATATATATTCTACTGAATAATAAATTGATTAGTAAAAAAATTCAGCAGAAAATAGTAAAAATAGTAACAAACAAGAAGAAGAACACAGAAGTAAACATACTTAGAGATTTCAATTACACAGATGATAACATATTAGATAGACAACACCCACAACTAACAAACTACAAGAAGCTGCCAATCTTTAAATGGCTTAAAAGACAGGATTTTACAGACTCGTATAGAAAGTTGCATACAACAAAGAAAACATATATATAGTCTAACCAAGAAGTAGTAACAAGAATTGATTATATCTGATTGTTAGAGTTAATTGCAGAGGCCTTCAAAAAGCCAATATAGAGAAAGCAAAAGGTATAACAGACAGTAACTATAAGATACTGACAACAGTCATATAGTTAAAATATATAATAGCAAATTACAAGATAAGAAACACTACTAACTAGGTCATCAAAATTGAACTAGAGGAAAAGAATATCAAATCAGCTTGATATATCAAAAACAAGTTATAATCTTATCAGACTATTTGGATTAAAAATTTAAGATCAAAGCAGAAGTATATTATAAATACTAAGCATATGCTATAAAATAGATGCTAGGATTCAGATGAATTCTACAAAAACTAACCTTATTAATGTTCTATAAAGTAAGTAAGTAGTTAACAAGAAAACACTTTTAAGTCTTATAGTCAGATAAAATATTTTGAAATATATAATAACTTGATAGACATACAAAAAGAAAGACTAAATATTAGGTTAGATGGCATTTGGTTGTACAGAAACCAGATGTTACTTATCTGAATACAGTATAAGGATCAGAGTATTTAAATAAGTACCTTTTTAATAGGTTACAAGTATAATAATTAATATAAAACCTTTAGGCAGACTACTTAAATAGATAATTAAAAATTACATGTGTGACTAGTTGTACACTTATATTGTACAAGTCACATGTATTACATTGACTAAAACACAAATAAAAGCAATAACTACTGATAACATTGATCTTAACAAAATATATATATATATATATAAAAATGATCTATATACACTTTACCTTTAAATTTGTTAAAATATTAATGAAAATATTTAATATATAAAATTTTTTAGAAATGATTAAAAAGATATTTTTCAAAAAAATATTTTTAGTAAGGTATAATAAATTGTTATTTAAGAAATTAAAGTTTTTTTTTGTACTCAGTTTACGCAATTGTAGAGAATACTATAATTTGCCTTGTATGTTGGATCTGACTATCATTAGTCTGATAACAAAAAATATTAAAAGAACAATTTTATTATAAAACCTAACCTTCAACTAACTTTATTTTAATTTTAATTAAAAAATCAAATTTATGTGACTTCATACTGCTTTAAGCAACCCCAACTCTGGTCATAATTTTCGAGATTCTATACCAAACATTTGTATTTGACATATATAATACCGATTATCAAAGTCGTTTTTTGAGAAACAATATCGATATAACTAGTACTCTACAAAATCAAGTCAAAGTTTGAATTGTATCAAATATTTGAAGATTTGATCCAAATTCAAACTTTGACTTAATTTCGTAAAGTACTAATTAATAAAATCGGTTTTCAAATTATCAAAAATTTTTATATAATCAAAATGATGAATGATCTGCATTATCGCTCTTGCATTAAATTTAATCTAAATACGCAATAATTGCATGTGTTTAGTAGCCTTAATCAGTAATTAACTGTGGGGGGAATAAAAAAGGTAAGAGTTGTTCTTTTGAAGAATATTGCTCCAATTCCTTGACAAAATACCCAACGTTATTATCGTGACCTTCTTTATCAAGCAAAACAAAAAAGTCAAAATAGAAAAACTTTCAACATGTTTTCTGTACCTCCAATCGAAACCGTATATACCTGGCGCCAAAGTGATTTAATGAAATTTATTCAACGCGTCGAGCGCCTCCACCCCGAAGATAGAAACTTTCACATAATTGAAGGGCTCAACTTGACTCCTGTCCGTCTTCTTAAGTTGACCGACGAACGAATTGATACTTTAGTTACCGAACGTGTTATTCAGACAACCCAGGGTGACATTATTGAAAGTGCCCGAGACGAGCTTACAAGTAATTGTCAAATATATATAATTTTATGTTTCTGGACATAGATATACGCGTTTTCATTAAGACTAATAAACAAAAATTTTGAATAATTTATTGCATAATAGGAGCTATAATGAGATATGGTATAAACAATTAATAAGATTAATATTTTTCGGAAATATTAACGGTCTTAATTATCCTAATTGATTAATTTTTGGAACTCTTGCTGTTGATTTTATTAAACAGTTGATAATTTAGTCATGCAACAGCCAGCTTTAAGCTTGTTTCATGTTCAAATTATGGAGCGATTGCATATCGACATTGCGTTTGGAGTTGATATCATTGAACACAATAGCTTTAACAACTTGGTACCTTTCTTGAAAGCAGGTATAAAAAGAATAATTTACTGATAATAAAATTTAGATCTTTTTGGTATGTAATTGGCTCATCTTTATCATTATTAGAACTTAAGAAGCAATTTTTGCCCAAGGTCCCTCGGGCTGCAAGCATTGCGGCAGCAGCCGCAATTGCTAAACAAGATGGCGGGGTAATTATCTAGAATTGTCTAGAAGTTTATTAATATAAATATTTCTTGTATATATATTTCTTTGATGAGAATAATTAGTCATTTTGTAATAATAATTTTTATCTGTTTATAACATTAAGTCAAATCCTGATAATTCATCCCACGAACGATCGAATCGTAAAGATGCAGCAATTAAAGAAGAACTTTGTGAAGTAAACAAACTTATCATTTTTCAACAGCGACAAAGTGGCGCAGGGTATTGTCTTCGAAATCATATTTGTAAATATATCATGCGTGCTAAGGGAAATCTCTCAGAAAGCACACTCAGGTACCCTACATAACAAATTTAACGTAAAAAAAAAGTAATATTATCAATCCTTTTAATAATTTTACCTTAATATATAAATTAACATAATTATTTATAAAGTAAACATATAGCCTCGGATATGGAAGAATTGCAGATTACGAAATTTCCTGTTGAACCTGAGGAACGCGAATTCATTAAATATTGTCAAGAGTAATTTTATTTTATTGTTATTTATTTATTTATTTATTTTAGACAGGAAAAAAGGTCTCTATTAATAGTATATTTTTTTTTAAAATAATTACAGACAATGTCTTGGTGTCAAAACTCTAAGCTCCGGTCATGTTAAATTAACTGCAAATAGCGCGTTAGAAATTTTGAGAAGGCATGGGATTTATAGAGTTTCTTGTGAGGTGTTCATGGAAACAGATAGTAATATGATTGAGGGCTAGACTATTATATATTCGATTCAGATTAAATAAAAACTCTTTAAGATCTATTTGCTATTTTGTGGTATATGGTGAGTTATATCTAAAGACTAATCACCAGAACCTTGGTTCTAAAAATTGTTCTTAGCGAATCCTTGAGGATTTCTTAGAAATCTTTGATCATAAATGTCTTTAATTCTGACGTTTTAAATAGCTCGAACTACGAAATGTAAAAGTTAGATTAAGCAGTGCAGAATAGATATTTCAATACAAGATGTTTTTTGTAGTTTGATCGTTATAAAATAAAATATTGCTCGTTTTATGTTGTGCAAATATAGATGCTCTGTCGCATTTTTAATTGGGCTAATATAATACGAGTGTGGCTAACGCTAAGGAAAAATCTGTAGATATGAATTTAAATTCAGAAAATTTAAGTCAGGTATAGGATAGTAAAAATTTAAATTCATACATACAAGAATAGTCGAGATAGTAACATCTAAACCATTAACATATGCAACTAATTAAATGAATTTCCTCTCAGAGCATCCTTTGAAATAAGAGCCATTTTTATTTTTTTCATGTAAAAACAATTCGTTAAAACCTAAAAAGGAAACAATTGAGCGCGCATAGAGGAATTGTATTAATTTTGTAGTTTGAAATTTGAATCAAAAAATATATTTTTACTAAAGAATGACATTCTATATTTAATATAAGGTCGTCGCGGCGAATTTATGAGATTAGAGTATCTGACTCACTACGAAGTGCGTCAAAATATTCTAATTTCATAAATTCGCCGTGATGGTGTCCAATCAACGAGTATATTAATCACTTTAGATACTGTGCACTAATATTCTTTAATATATCCGTGTTAAAGTTTGAGGTAGGAACGTTTCAAATAAGGAAATAATGATCCCGATTAGTGATGCAAACGGCTTGAGCCAAGCCAAGAGCCAAACGGCTAAGCCGAGCTAATTAACGGCTCAGCTCTGGATATACTAATAAAGCATTGCACCTAAAATGGCTCCTTAAAGCCGATATGGAGCCGAGAGCCGATTAATTAGTATCACATGACCATAGTCCAATAGTAAACGATTAATGATACTATAATTTTATTTGATAGTAACTCAATTAAGTAAATCAAAACTTGTCAGGGTGAAACCCACACTGAATTCCAGTAAAACCCGCTTTGATCGTAGGGTTTGGGTGAAATCTGCGTTAGCATAGTATATGGAAGTAAATTCGAATGCTAATTTCATGTTATCGTTATATAAATAATTTTAAATATTAGAATTTGTGATTGTGTCTAATTGGATAGTTACATTATATAGGGTAGCGGCTTGCGGCTTGGCTTGGCTCGAAGTTAATCAGCTCATAAACGGCTTGGCTCTGACCTTTGGAGCTAAAAGATCGGCTTGGCTTAGTCAATGTAAGCTGAGCTGAGCCGAATATGCATATTGTCATGCATATTTGGTTAGCCAATCAAAATGAGGAATTTATAATTCTTTTAAAACAAAGTTTTTAATAGGATTACCAGCTACAGGATGATTGCCAACAATTAAAAAAATCGATAATAATCGATATTGGTTACTAATCGATGCAAAATTGATTAAAAACAATTGATTTTAATTTATTTTGATGTAGAGTTTGGAACTAGCTTTGATTCTAACCATTATTTTGATGCTAATCGATTTTTAATTAATATTAATCGAAGTTAATTAGCATCAATCGATTCTAATCTGTATTACTGACAATCAACAGGGTGTTGCTTATTGATTGACATTTCTATTAGTTAATCATTTGCCAGTTAATTTAAAATTTTTCTAATAATTGTGTCTAAATCTAAAATCATAAATTTATATATTATCGTTTAATCTATAGGTTTTTTCAAGCAAATTTGTTTGAAAAATCATTAAAAATATACTTATAATCTATTTTTTAAAAAAATTTAAAAAATTTAAATAAAATTTGGATATTGATAAATCACATTATTGGTGTTTAATACCACATTTTGATTTAGTCAATTAGATCATTAATTATCTAATTTTGTATAATAATTGATTGTAAACAACAAAAATAAGTAAATTAAAAATAAAATTTTGAAAAATTTAAGAAAAATTAAAATTTTTTAAAAATTTTTTTGTAGATATATATTAAATTTTATGATAAATAATTTTACTTTAAAGTCAAAAGACAGTTTACTTAGTAAAATTTTAAAATATAATTAAAAAATTGATGAAAAATAAAAAATTATAAATATTGTAAACTTTTACTAAACTAATTATATTTTGGCATTTAAGAAAAAATGTTTAAAATAAAATTTTATATATAATTGTAATATTTATTTTTAAAAAATTTTATTAATATTATAAGTTATAAATAAATCTAATTGTAACAACCTGTTATATTCTTATTTGTAACAATTCAATTAGTACAAGCAATAAAAATAATTAAAATTTTGTATAACTCAAACTCTAACTACTATTGGCTAATTAGAAGTTGTTATATATAACAGGTTGTTACAAAAACATTTATTCATAAGTTATTATTAAAATAAAAAATTTGCAAACTTACTATTCTAAAAATGATTTACAAATTAATGAATCACAATTAAGTAATGTTTATACTGATATTAAATATCATAGATGTAATATATACTTATTGTAAAATTTTATTTAAAAATAAGAATAATTTATAACAATGTTTAATATTATATTGTTATAAAGTAAAAGTTATCTTAATTCTATACTATAACAATAACATGATCAATTCTCTGGATTAAATACAATATTCTTTTTAACTATATACTAACATTTTAAATCTAGATAGGTTTTGATCATCATAATCAGTTTAGATCACAGGTAAACTAGTCTGAGCTCTTATTCTTACATGTAATTTTATTTTATTACAAACAACCTTAGTTTATTTCAGTAATCTGTACTAAAATATACAATTAAAATTATTAATAAAGATATGAGCAAGGCCTTACCTTAATATCAAAAAAAAAAACTATAACAATAACATAGCATAAAGAATTTTTTATAGATATATGCAGTATCTAAGAGAAAAATATAGTTTCTGTTAGATGTTATCAAAAAACTATACCTATCTTTGAAACAGTTTGATAATTATTATATAGTAGTTTATAGTTAAAAATATTTATTAAAATAATAACAAAAGAGATTATTCTTAAATATCTATTCTAAAAAATTTAAAATATAATTTATAAGATAAAAGAAAATAAAAATTGTCTGTTTCTGTTTGTTAATTGTTTTAACTTAAAGGAATTTAGAAGATATATATATCTTTAAGTTAAAGGCTAAGTGACTAAAAAACTAAAGAACTAAGCAACTAAATAACTAATATTATAAACTTAAAGTATTAAAATATTAAAGCATTAAAACAACTATAATTAAGAAATAATATAATAATAGAAATTTATCTTATAATATTTCTGTCTTCTTAAAAAAATTTGTTTCACAAATTTAAACTACTACAAAATATTAAAAAAATATAATTTCTATTTCTATTATTTGTAATTATATGATTTATAAATTATTATTATTTCAAATTTATTAAATTAATTTTTAATTAATTTTTAAATTTATTAAATCAACTTCTAATTAGTTTTTAATTTTATTTATTATAAAAAAAATTAATTATTGTTCTTAAGAAGAAAAAAAATTTATATCTTTTTTTTTTTTAAAAAAAAAATTTAATAATAATAATAATTATAATAATTATAATAATAATTATAATAATAATAATATCAAAAATCAATTTGTTAAGAAATATTTATTGATTTTGTTATAATAGCAATAATGCTTTATATGAGACTTTTGAGTTTGTTCAGTATTAATATTAAGAGTTTTATATATTGTTAATTATAACTTTTAATGTACCAAACCAAATTGGATAAAATAACTACTATTAGATTTAGCTTACTAAGATAATTCTAATAAGCACAATATCATGTTATTCTGCTTACAGGATTATGAGAACAGAATAATTTTGATAAAAACATTAATTCTAGTATATGTGACTTGATTCTAATTGGATTCTATTACTGTATCAGAAATCTATTATTTCTATCATTTCTAGTAGATCTATTATTGCTATTAAATCTATTATTTTTATCAAATCTCTCAAAGAAGAAGAATTTAAAATTTAGAAGAAAAATTAATAAAGTATAAATTGAATATAGTATTAAGGATGCAGAATAAGTAAATGTTAAAACAATAATATACAGATTGTTAAATAAGAAAAATAGGTTAAAGGCCAGGTTAAAGAATTGTAAAGAAAAGTTGAGAAGATTATAAAGAGAAAAAAAAAAGTAATAATAGTAATAGAAATAAGTTATTAAATATTAGGTTTAAAATTGTATTGTTTTTGAAGATTTTTTTTTTATTTTTATTTTTATAATAATAATAAAATATAAAATTTTTAAAATTTAAATAAAAATATAATAAAAATTGTGGCAATTTAGTAAAGTAATCAGGTTGTTAATTTTCTACATAGTAAATTAGGTGTTTAAATTTTATTGATAGTTAAAATTTAGATAATCATTTAAATAATATTCATATTATGGTAACTGTTATTAACAATTGTGTTAGAATATTTGTAATGACAATTGTACTAGTATAACTGGCAGGTTATGAGCATTTATATAACTAGTTATATATAGAAATGCAAATTAACAAATCAGGTAATGCAAACATTAGATAAGTTTTTGTGAATATATAAATCTATTAAAATTAGATAACAAAAAGTTTATTTAGAAAGATCTAAGTAGAGAAATAGTCAAATTTTAAATAATTCTACTATAAAGACTAGTCTAAGAAAATAAATACCAAGGTCATAGTACTCAGTTGTAATACCCAGATGGATAAGAACCTTAAGATTGGGAGTCTTGAAGTTATTACTAACTAGGTTACTAGAATGAATTGAAAGAAAAGAATATTGGGCCAACCTAATATACCAATGAACTGATCATAGTTTTACACAAGCTATCTGAATTGGAAATCTGA